ATGTGGTTTTGCCCGCGCACGCGCAAAGAAGCCAGCTGCAAAGAATCCCAAGTTCAGAGGCAGAGGAGGAGGCTTCGGTAGCGAGTTCCATCTCCAAGGATTCCTTGAATACAGAGCTCGGGATGAACTCTAGCCCGTCCACGGCTACGTTCGGTGGGAACTCGGACTCGGACGAACACGAATACGAAAGCTGCGAGATCACAACGTGCGTCTGATTAGCGTTGGCTTGGTGAAGGGCGCCCTCTTGATTCCAAATTTGGCAGGCACGTAATCAATTACTTTTCACGTGTAGCTTAAAGATGTTCTTTGCCTCCTATTCGATTGCAATATTTTCAAGTACAGAAAAATGTTTTTACAAGAGTGATGACAAAGTACAGTGTAAATGTTCAGCATGAATCACTCTTCAAAATATTTACACTTGAACGTTATAATATACATGTATAAAGTACAATTTTCATATTTTAGCTTAATCCGTTGATATAGGACGAAAAGATACTGATTATTGCTCATTATTAATATCACATTAACCTTAAGTCATGAAGATGTTTTTTTATGTACTTGTAAGATGGGAAAGAATTCGTAGACAATGAGTAGGCCTAGATCACCCTTTTAAGAGTTTATTCCAAATGCAGCCAAATCTACGATGTATTATATCCACCACCTTGTTTTAGCTATTTTATTAAATTGTAAAAAAAATAAGTTGGTTTGGAAATCTTCAGTATTTTAACTAAAACTCAGGTTAGGAAAACGTTTTGCTCTGACATCACTCGTATTGAAAGTTGAGGGTTTTGAGTTTCGATGTGTAATCTGATGAAACTTTTATATTTTTTCATTCCATCGATGGTTACATTTGATGTCCATTTCGAGTCCCTAAACAGAAATGAGTCTTTTCGCAAAAAAAATATGTCTTGTGCTCGGCGCACATTTTCCTGAATCAGATAGTGTTCTCCAAATTGCCAGAACAGACGGTTCGATCTTCATGACAGACTGCATGCTAAAAAGACTTTTAACCTCATGAAATTTAGGATCAAAATATTGTATTGAACATTAATCTTTGTTATTTCGCAGCGAGAACATATAATTCGCGATTCATTGACAAAGCGAAATTTACTGTCAATTGCAATGTCATGTGATGTGATCAACTTATACACGCATCTTTATACTGGTTTCATGTTTCTGCTGGTATAAGAAAAAGCAATTCGCCATTTCGTTTTCTCCTATAATAACATTGCAATAAAGTCCTTTTTGTGTGAGCAAAACATGCATTCAAACGATCGAACATAATAGTCGTATATATTAAGGAGAGTAAACTACAGCACTTTCTAAATACATGTACATATAACCCGTTTCTCTATTTTCATATTTTCTATTTGTATAGAAATGTTTAATTCTGAGCAAATATTATTCGTGTAAAAGTAAACGTTGCTGGATTTTGTGTCGCAATTTGTTTTGCACAATGTAAATGTATAGCTTACATGTTAATTGCGTACAGAGCAGGCCTTTGGTGATTCGGTGTCTAATAGAAACGTGTTTAATTAAACATCATAAAATAAGTTATGCATTTATAATTTGCTTAAAGGGAATATACAACATTTGCAAATATCGAAAAATAAAACTACCAAGTTTTTACGAAATACCTTACTAGGATGTTGGTAGATGACAGTCTAAAGCATCCTGTAAAGTTATGGCACCTGGTGGCAAAGTCATTTTCAAGAAAATGGTATTTTTGTATACATTTCCAACGGTGGTCGGCCGATCACCGTTGGAAAACCTAACTATTTGTCAACTACTGCTCCAAATTTACAATTTTTTGTCAGTCCAAATTTTGTTTGCTTTTGGTTACATGTTCATGAACGGGTGCAGGCCAGCTAGACTTGTTCCCTAACATCACAATTTTTCGGCATCTATAAATTGATCATTTCAATTTTAATTGAGTCAGGGAACCAGACTACTGCAACATTTTTGTTTTTCTTGGTTTTTCCAGCATTTTCAAACACAAAACTTCAAACATGTCACTGTAACAATATTTGATCTATTATACTAACCCCTCAAATAGGTCATTTCTAAAAATTACAGCAAAAGCCAATGATGTACATTCCCTTTAAAGGTTAAGACTTTTTTGGTTTATTTATTTCGGACAAACACCAATGTTTTAGTAATTAAGATCAAGATAACGATCACACCAGCAGAATGTATTCATTGTATTTACTATTGTACTGCAATAATTCTTGTAAGTTTTCAATACGCAAGAGTGATTTGTTCTGCAGAGAAAGTATTCTGCAGAGAAATTATATCTTTATGTATCCTATTTCTTAAATGGCGGGAGTCAATATTTAATCACGTTGAAGTTAAAGGGTTCATGCGATGATTTTCTGCGGGAACACATTCTGTGCAACTTTCTACTCCTCCTAAAATGTATGAACACTATTTGACATCCCTTTCGGTGAATTTTATTGAAAAGTGCACTTCTTTAAACATTTAAAATTGTCCATGCTTTTCCAGACAACCGAGGGCGCTGTTGCTGTGGTGTCATTTCAGGAAGACACAGTTTCGGGGTTTTCTGTTAAAGTTGTGAACCTTACATTTGCCTATTGAAAACATTTGTGAGAAAGGGTTGCTCATTGGCGAAGAACAGTAAGATATCAAAAATTGTGGCAACTTTTTCTGCTGAAATAGCTGTAACATTGAGGTTTCTGCCCGGAATGACATCACAGTTTTGCTCATGAATATGGAAATTCGTATTAGCATAAAAACCAAAAAGGAATCAAAATTCAAAATGGCCAAACGAAAATTGAAAATAAGGTTAAATGGGATACATACACAAAGATGCATTTCAAGGATCGCTTGTGTCCTTTAAATCATCTTAACGACAGCAAGGTTGGTGGTGAGCCAAATAATTTTGCCAACTTTCAAAACCATCAAAATTCAAAAATAGATTGGCCAAATCAATTTCTTTTGTTGTTTTCAGCATTTTGGCATTCTCTTGGAAAAGGATTCCAATGATGGTTGCACTGTGCTTGATCATCCACCCAGCCTTCACTAGTCTTACACGTCGCCCTTTTCGCTACAATATTCAAATCATTTTTTGTTGTTGGAGTGATAACAGATCAAAACAGGATAGAATAGGGCCCTGAAGCTTGCACAAGCACAAGTTTTTAACCGATAAAATAAATTGGCTTTGAAATGACCGAATATTTTGACCCGCCATCTGCTTCGCTATTACAGCGACTTGCGGGGATTGAACCAAAAATTGTCATACACGTCAAAATGTTCACTCTCTCCGCTCAAGCATATCTCGTTACTTGTCCCTCTGTGTCATCTAATCTTGTAGCATTAGACGGGGGAAAAATAATGCAATCGGATAGTCCGATTCTCCAATTTAGCCCCTACTTGCCGGCATAAATTATATTAGCCGTGTTGGTTTTAAGTGCTCAGATCTTAACGAGACTCGATACCTTGTTTTGATACATCGGCCTGAACGCCGTAATGCGGTTAGACGGGTGCTGTGATTGGCCCGTCGTGGTCACGTGGTACTGGTAGTCATAACCAAATTTAATAATTAACTGCTTTACGCGGAAGACCACTTAAAATTTTGAAACCGTATGGGAGCTAAGAGAAGTTCAGTATTATCATTACAAATGCCAAGTTTGCAGAGAAGGGCATACGTATCAACGGATGTTTACAAATTTATCACCGTGTAACACAACTACATGTACATGTACGACGTTTGTACAAAAGGTGTTGACTTTAGTTAAGGCTTTTACTTGATGAAAATTACATGATGTCCGTTATAGGATGCTAATCTAAAAATGCAATTTCCACAAGGACAAAAAATGACACAGCGTTTAGAGTGACCCGAAATAGCCTTCGATTTTATCAAGAAAAACTCAAGTAATTTTAGTTACCAAAAAATATAATCGGGAAAAAAAATAAAAAATTAATAAAAGATGACTGAAAACAAATCAGAGGCATGTGAAATATTGATGCATACAATGCACATAGCAACACACTAAAAACAAATAGTTCTGGTAACTCATGGGGGAAAAAAATCACTTCACGCAAGAGTCGTCGGTTTGTTAGTGACGATAAAACGACAGATGGCGTCCTTCAGAAATATGAATATTTTTTAAGACTTCGAAATGTTATGGAATATTTGATTTCTTTTTATAGATGTTACATAATACATCATGGATCAAGGAATTATGGGGTCGAGGGTCAAATGGGCACCGGCCTTGCAAGTGCGGTCAAGTATGAGGTCAAGGGTCAATAAACAAAATAATAATACTAATTATTAAAAAAAAAAAGTCAGCAGTGATAGTAGTTGTGAATCAGAACAATTGGTGGAAGACTTCAATTGATTCACCTCAGTTTTATTTTGTTAAAAGGGTCCGTGAAATGAATTTTTCTTATGAACACATTTTTTGCAAATTTCTATCAAATGAGGTTTTGCCCTTCAAATTTCTATTCATCTTTAAATGTATGAAAACTATTTGACATCTCATTATTGTAAAGTGTACTTTTTGAAACATTAAACATTGTCCATGCCTTGCCGGACAACTGAGGGCGCTGTTGATATGATGTCATTTCAGGAAGACACTGCTCAGTTTAGGGTTTTCTGCTCAAATTGTGACCCCAAAATTTGATCAATGAAATCATCTGTGATAAAAGTTTGCTCACTGGCTTACTGCCATGTACTGACATAACAACGAATCACCAAAGAAGAGAAAATTAACGACAGCAAAATACCCAAAATTCTGGCAACTTTTTGTGCTGAAATAGCTGTAACATAGAGGTTTCTGCCTGAAATGACATTATACTTTTGCTCATCAATATGGAAATTCACATTAGCATACAAACCAAAAAGGCATCGAAATGACAAAAAAGAAAATTTAAATTAAGTTTAAATTGGATACAAAGGTGCATTTTCAAGGATAGCATTACAAAATACATTGCATGGGCCCTTTAAAATCATTTAAATTAGTAATGGGGATAGAAAAACATAGACTGTGCTTTGAATAATTCAAATTTATTTTCCCGGAGTGATACAATTCGGCACACTCAATTGAAACAAAGGACTCTTGTGATAGCTTGTGCATGTGGCAAACTATGCTACCTGAATGCCAATGCCTAGCTCTGATCAATTTGCATGTAAAAATTTGTCTGACCAAAATAAACGAACAAAGTTTGTCATATCATCGAGACTGTCACTCCGAAGACGGCAAGAATAACAAACTTTCAGATGACGTCACAGAATGAACTTATATATTGCACACTATTATTTCCGCAAGCAAAACTTAATAATTACCAGTTAAACGTAGCTTAGACCACAGGTCTGTGTCGTGACAATAATTGTCATAATAAATAATGTGCAGATGGCGAGGTGTTAAAATAGGGGCAAATTGAATCAAACAAAAAAAATCAAATAACACCAATTAAATGATAAAAACAGTGTGCAATCAAATAATGGAGTTGCAAGCATGAGTTTAAGAGTTCGAAAATGATGCGCGCCATCACTTCAAACGTATACGTCCTCGGCTATAGGAGCAAGTTATTGATGTGACTAGAGTTGGTGATCGCGCCTCACAACATTTTAGGGTGCCTCTCGTACATGTTTTGAAGTTTTTGTAACTACATGTTTTAGAAGGGAACACCAATTTGCCTTCTGTTACCGTCCATCCGCAGTGCTGCAACACGAGCCGAAACACCTTTACTCGTGGTTCCGTCAGTCATAAAGTTCCCAACGGTCAGAGTCGATCGAACCAAGGGATGTGCCTTCCGTAGTGGTAACATCAAATCTCGCTGCACAGGGCTCATTCCCGTGTTCCACGAGATTCTGGGTGATCGTTCAGTCGTCATCTCGGGGTTGGGTTGAGATTCATTTTCACGCTCTCTGTGCGTGATCCACGCGCGGACTTTCCCCGTGGCTTCTTCGTACTCGGACGGCGTGGGGACCGACGCGTCCGATGGCGGCGGGCGTGGGTGGTTGCGGTTGGCTGTCGCTACTCGCTCGATCGGTTTGCTCAAGTCTTCTTTGGAGACAGAGCAGCGTTGTAGCCTGGCGTGTTTGGCTGACGGGGCAGAGGCTTCGTGACGATGTAAACGAGCAGGTTCTGAGGCAGGCCTGATGGGGTTTGATACGCCTTGCACAGACCGGTTGGATGAGCGAGACACAAGGAATACTCGGTTGGTCACAATGGCTCCTTTCCTTGCAGGTGGTAGTCTGGGAGTCAAGTTGGATCTCCGGCGTTCTTCATCTGTTCTCAACCGGGCGGAATGCACACCTGTCCCGCGCACCGCGTGCCGTGAGTAGGTCACTCGCTCCCTACTCCGTCCAACTCCCTCATCAGTTCCTCCCTTAGCAGACGGCCAGAAATTCACTTCGTTCTTGACGACGAATTGGACCGAGGAGAGTTTCGGCAAGTAATTCCCGATGGTCAGTCGTCGCGTCAGCCCCGCTGCCGTCGCGGGCTTGAGACACTCCGGATGTGAATTCTGAGCTGTGATTTGCAGTCTCATCATTCGGTCCTCTTCGCTCAATTTACTGCGATATTCGGCCGTCCATGCCACCGGAGCAGCTTCATGATCCTTCCTGGTGTGATTCCCGATCACCTTGGAAAGTCTACCGGAGTTTGGCGAAGGTTTGTCGGTGCGAGCCGAAAGCTTGCCGGTGTTTTCCGAAGGTTTCTTCGTATCGCTCGAAATTGTGCCGGTGCTGCCCGATGTTCTCTCGGCGTTTATCTGCAGCTCGTCGATAGCACCCGAACGCCGTTGGCAACTTCTACGGTGTCTGTTTGTGCTTCTTGATTTCAGTCCGGAGCGTGGTGTTATGGACACTCTCGGTGGCAATATCGGCGGTTCTTCGTCACTTGAAATTCCAACCAAATCCACATTGTCTTTCCCTTTGGCTGCACTTTCAGGCTCGTCAGTACACGATGAAGCCTGTGGCGGGTCGTACTGCGTGCCTTTGTTGTTGACAGCCGACATTCTCGGTTTTTAGTTTGTGCCAGGTTCACATCTCGAAATCATGGTCAAATTCACGATCGCCTGGTTCTTCAACTGCAGTTCAGTCAGGTATACGCTTCTTTTCTTATACCATGTCTCAGATATGTCTCCAATCCAATTACTCATGAGCTCAGACACTGGCACTCGAACAACAACGCATAATGTCCAAAGCTGTGATTCTATCTCGATGCAGTTTGCCTCGAAAAGCTAATCTGCAAATAGCTCCTCACTGAAGATACAACGTGATCCACCTCGTGCGCAGTGATCAGAACTCGGCCCACCGCTCCTAGTTGACCACACGTCATCAGCTACCACACCCGTAGTTCTGTAAAACGAGACAATGAAAGGTTTATACAAGAATCAGCGGTAAACACCATGATTTACTTTAATAAACAATGACTTCCATATTAAATTTCCCTGAGTTTTACTCATACCGTTATGCTGATTCGATGGAACTTGACACGAACACTTCACCTCTAATTTCGTAAGTGAGCACTTCATCAAGCGTGCAGTTGCTATGATCAACGGAATAAATCTACTCTCTGGGGGAACATGTTTGCTTATTGACCAGGAGCTTGCAAACTTGATGGTTACCTGGTTAATCCTTTTCTCTGTTATCAGTGACACTCCAGTGTACAAAAGCATGAACTTCACGTCAGCAACAAGAGAATGTAAATTGAGGCTAAGTAAATAAGCGTCCGTGTAAACAAGGGTCGTGGTGACTCCATGCCAGTTATCTTAGAGTAAATAAGATAAAGTGTATGTTTTACAATATGGATAACCTGATAAGTATACATTACACTCGATATCATTGTAGGACTAAAGTTGTAAAACTATAAGTGTGCATGAGCCCTTACCTTTAATGATGTTTCCCGCTCCACGGAGCTCCACAATACCATCCAGAGGATAAGTTGAACCATTTGGGCTCATCAGTCGTTGATGCGTGATCGCAGTAAAGGATACCAAGTATGGTTAATCCATGATGGTTGAATCCAAACATATACCTCCGAAAACTGATCTCGTCTTTGATATCGTCTGATATTGTTGTCAAGTCACCATGGTAAAGGACTGGTCCAACCAACAACATATGGGCAAGTCTCTCTTAAGTGACGTGTTTCTTCGTTTCCTCCCTTCCAAAAGTCCTCTGCAGCGGGAGATTCATGGGTACAAGAAGTAGTGAAGATAATAGCAGGCCTCAAGTGAAGTCGAGTACGAGTTTAGATATCATTGAAGAGAATCCAGTCCGCGTATTACTTCTTTTTCTGCACACGGTTACTCCTGTCCTATGGAATGCATACTCCAGCTCCAACACTTGTATAATCTGATCAGAAAGTTAATTGGTATTGTTCGTTGGTTTGATGACAATTTCGTCCCTTGCTGTTCAGATGTCTCCTGTACGTGCTGATTGCGCCGACTGGTTCCAGTGTACGCCTACCGCCCCATGCTTAGCCGGATTTGATGCCTTTCTTCATGCCCGGAGTCACCCATATCCTCTTAAAACTTTGATGGATTATTTAGCCCGACGAATCCCCATAAAAAAAGTGTTTGCACCCCTCTCACGGACGATCGACCGAACATGGACAAACGTTGCAGGGCAATAACCACGCCGGACTGAGCACGGTACAAAAGACGCGAGTGCCAAGCCGTCAACAACCCATCCGCGACAATGGTAGAGTTTGCGGATAAGGCACAAAGGCTTCTTGTCAAGCTGCCAATTATTGTTTAGGGTGCCCTCAGTGTTTGCACTCAGACTAGAGTACGGTCATGGTCCATTAAATTGCCACCAGACTTTAATTTACTGAGAGCATAGAGCTACGTGCTGAGAGGGAGAAGGGAACAAAAACGTCTGGAGGCTGGTGTTTGTCCAGTGGCTGGTGGTCGCGGGGGAGGGGGAACTTCAATGGTTCGCCATTTTAAGTTCCTTTTATCATGGAAGTAGAATTTATTATACGTGTAAGTTCAAATCGGTACAAAAAGAGTATCCGAATGCACGTAGCCCTACCCTCATCAATTTCTTCACGAAAAATTACAATCTAAACGAGGATAAAACAACTTACATAAACAGGGAAAACAGTATTGTCAAATTCGTCATAAAAAAAAGACTTCGCTTTATTCCTTCAGAAAAAAGAGTGATATTTATATTCCATTTCATGTTTCCCTGCTCTTCATTTAAAACACTAGTCAGCTTTCAATGATCCATTTTGTGAATCGAGGTCAACTGGGTTTAGACTACCGGGAAAAAAAAACTATGTGTGTCCGTCTCTGCGTATATGTATACAATCAAAAGACACATCACTCTCTTTATTTGCTCGCATTTATTTATTATTCATTGTGAAAACCACACCAGTATCAATACACGTCGTGTTTAACACCAGCTATTAACAAACCCAACTTATTTCACAATGTATGCAAAACAGTCACATGCGTCAATTTGGCACCTCTGATTGGTTGAAACTTTTCCAACCAGCCGCCCAAAAGCACCATTAACAAATCATGAGGGTAGCGCCACCAGTGCGATCGATCGTCAACTTAACGCCATTTAGGCCTAACATCAGCGCGCCACACTGATTAGAAATTCAGCTCGGTCCACTCCCAAATCATTTATTCATGCTGCCGTAACTACGGCAAAAACTACAGCTAGCAACACAACGACTTGTCTTTGGGGAGTTAAGTGTTCATCCAGTTCTTGTTGTTCTGGTACACGGTATACAACCTGGCCAGAAAAATGGAGCAGGAAAGCTATCTTCCTACATAAGCTTGAAAGCTCAAAGGGATGCTGTCCTATCCTGCGCAACTGTGGTCTTGCTTTGCCTTACATCGTCTGGGGAGTTTTGCAGTTTTTAAGTAGGATGTACCAAGGCAACCAACAATCACCTTCCAACTTATACGAATGGCGTGTACGTGTTGGGGACGTGAGCTTGCCACTTTTGAATTCGGTCTCCATCAGATGAAAATGTTGAACGAGTCAACGAGTAAAGTTTGCTTATGAGCCATCACCAAGGTAAAGTTGAAGCACATTTATGAGACTAAACAACTATAGCTTGTGATCAGCATTCAGCAAGGATCATTTTGATTTTTTGCGTGAACTTTGAAAACTTGGGAGGTCATCACAGCAGCACATTATACTGACGGAATGAGTCACTGCATTGACTGAAAGATTTGACTATGGTTGCAGTTGACGGTATCGTATGAATTGAGCAGAACTCGAATACCTCTTCTCAAATTAAAGTTAATTTCCATCAGCTACAAACTTTTCCCCAAAAAAGAGATGCAATGATGTGAATTTCTCCTTGGTTAGACGCCAAAAGACGCTTCTTGAATTGAAACCAATAAAGCGGGGACCGGTACACAGATGTTGAAACGTCTTCGACAACTTTCTCTGGATCCGGATCTGGTCAGTCCGTCGACCATGGCAGCGCTGGTAGACCTCTCCCAAAAGATCGACCACGGCATCAAGTTCGACGACATCCGAAACCGCATCGTCATCACGGAGGATTTGATGAGAGACCTGCGTATCTGCGGGGTTCCGCGTGAGCGTACGCCTCGAGATCCCCCACCGCCAAACGGGTCGGGAGCCCCCGTGACCAACAACGCCTGGCACCGCTCTCACGCCAACTCCGCAGCGGTCTTGTACCGTCAGTCCCGGAGATACATGTCAAGCAGAGCAACTTTTCCTCCGGGCAGACCGATCTACAAGCCGTCTAAGCACAGCAGAGAGCTGCCTCGCTTCCCGGAGCTCAGCACCAACCAGTGCCAGCTTTTCGCCAAGCACAAGTTCAAAATGGAGGGGCGTGGGCTAGGTCGCAGGAGGCCACAGACCGAGCCAACAACCCACCACAGCCAATACTACCAACATATCCTCGGTGATGGGGAGGTACGGAGGTTTCAGCAACAGCAGCGTGATTTGAGGAGAGAGGCGGCCGAATCGCCGATCAAATCGACGGCCGAGATCAAGCTTCCAGAGATCCAAACCCCAACGCCCAGCGTGCGGGAGAAGTACATCGTCAAGTGGCTCTATGGAGAGCCTAACGGGAGGAGCCCTTACATCACGCCCAAGGACATGGGGTTCAGACTGGGCAAGAAGAAGGGCACACCTGTGCAGAAGAACGTGATTAACGAGAAACTTAACAATACACCTGTTACACCATTTGCTAATGAAATGAAGAGCTCACTGTCTTGACTTCACTGCACCTGTTTATGATAAACATACCAGAACAAAATTAATTAGTATAAACCTCGACCGATAATTAATTACAGAACCCCATGATGAGACCATTTTTACCGGAAGTACTCCTTGATTTTGATTTCTCCAATAGGAACAATTTGCTTCTCATAAAATGAGACGCCTGCCTTCCAAAACAAAATAAGTATAGTTTAATTGTGTTCCCTTTCTTGCCGTCTAAAGTGTTGAACTTTTCTTTTGTACAAAAAATCAGAAATTGTGTGAATCTGTCAGCACATTTTTTTTAAACCACAGATTACTTTTAACAAGTTGTGTTGACTGAATCTCATATCACATCCAGTTTCTCAGTTGCCGGTTCAATTGAAGCACGCCCTCTGTTGGTACTGTTTTGGGAATAAACTCTTGGCTATCAGCACGCACAAAGTTGAAAAATCAATCGAATTTTACCTAATAATGTGAAGTTGCACAAGAAATTAGAAAGATAATACTTCATGCATTCACGGAAAATACAAATGCTGATTGCTGGAAGTATAACACTTTGCAAGACAATCATAATACATGTAGTTAGTTGAGCTTACTATTAAAATAAAAAAATATTATTTCTTGCATACAGCTTGTCTTTTATTTCAAACTATTAATTTTGTTGGCTGAAATAAGAAGTCGAAATTAATCTCACATCCTAGATGTGTCCTTACCCCTTTATAACTCCATACATTTGTAAGATACAAATGCTCAGAGCTATTGTCAGAATTGAAAGGATTGATACGTTTTGGTGGGGAAAAAATCTGTAGTAAGGTGTACAATAAAAGGGCTCCAACTTTCCCTGCACACGCCCCCTTTTAAACCCACCCAGACCCGCCCACTCCAAGCTCTTCAATTTAACCAAGTCACCCCAAAGATAATTTATTGATGCCGAAAGACAGTTATGGAAAACCTGTTCTTTTAAAACTGCAACTGACTAGACTCACAATAATTTATTCATAACACCGTAAAGCGAGGTCGCAAACATTGAATAATTTATATCAAACAAGTGTTGCTATTACTGTACAGGAGTATACTGGTGTAGGTTGCTGACTTAACAAAACTCAATGAGTAATTAATATTTAATTACAAACACTGAGAGTGGGAGTGAGCAGCAACGCAAAACAAAATCGAAAGCGCCAGTTAAAAATAAAAGTTCAGGGCTCATAAATTACAGGACAGTTCGGTGACAAGTTGACGGTTTATCTTTAGGACTACATTTATGGTAATATTTTGTCTACATAATTCTTTTCTTCCTAGATATTTGAGGTCTACATTTTTGTTGTTCGGCAACACGGCCAAGTCATGAGAAAAAGGACACAGTAGAAATTTCAAAATGCAACACCAAAACCGTCTGCAAATGTATAATCAATAAAATTTTGAAAACATTAATTGAAATCATTTATTCAAAAACTGATTACACCCATTCCCCCCCCCCAAAAAAAACTTTCTAGGGAAATCCCCAGATTGATTGACACATCACGTTGAGGGACTTTCCCTGTTTAATACTTTCTTGGTAACCTTTTCAAAACGCTAACGAGGCAAATAATGTTGTATTTATAGGTGCCTTGATGTGAATTGAATGAGGTATAATACCGTATTGTGCAACACCGTGGGAGAGGATGCAGTGGTCCATGTGATAATATTAGGCAGGATTTATCAAAAGGCCAACATTTTCTCATTCATAAACTTCACGGCCTGTGAGGTTTTTTGTTAAATTATATTTAGACCATTCAAAGCTCTTCAGCACAACCAAGAGCTTTACTGCAGTGGCTGTGAGGATATGTTGTTGCAAATATGTGGATGATGATAATAGTTATGGTGATAAAAATTACAACAATGGTTATGCTCAAGATGAATATTTTGTTGGCAGTGACAATTATGACTGTGGTACACTGAAAATGAAAATATTGCCCTTAAACTAAAACTGTAATCGGATTTGACTATGGAATCGTCAGACCTTCATCAAGCTCTCTACAGATATATCAGCAGGGCGCAACTTTGGCTGTTTTCCCATACAATTGAAAGGGAATGTACATGTACATCATTGGCTTTTGTTGTAATTTTCAGAAATGAACTATTTGAGGGGTTTGTATAATAGATCAAATATTGTTACACTAACATGTTTGAAGTTTTGTGTTCAAAAATGCCGGAAAAACCAAGAAAAAAGATGTTCAAGCAGTCTGGTTCCCTGACTCCACTAAAGATGAAATAGATCAATATTTATAGATGCCAGAAAATTGTAAGGTAAGGGAACCTGTCTAGCCTGCCTGCACCCGTTCATGAACATGTAACCAATAGCAAACTAAATTTGGACTGAGAAAATGGTAAATTTGGATCAGTAGTTGAAAAATAGTTAGGTTTTTCCAATGGTGGTCGGCCGACCACCGTTGGAAACGTATACAAAAATACTATTTTCTTAAAAATGACTTGACACCAGGTGCCATAATTTTACAGGATGCTTTATATTGTCATTTACCAACATTCTAGTATAGTATTTCTTAAAAACTTGGTGGTTTTATTTTTCGATGTTTGCAAATGCTGTATATTCCCTTTAAAACAGTTTTATTATTAGAGTTTGGCATCTTGTTTAGTTTGATCAGTTCTTCCCTATTTTTTTTTTTTTACAATTGCTACACATAAACATCAGTAAAGATCTAACACGGTGTCATCTCATTACACTGTTGATGGAATAATTTATGAATAAATAAGGATATCTTGAATAAATCCAGGAAGAATAAAAGTCTCTTGTGACAACATTTATACATTTAAGAATGAAAAACATTTCAACATTAATAAACGTCTTTGAATTTATATATATATAAATAACATTTAATAGATCCATATTTTACTGCTGAATCCTCAAAGATAAACAAACAAGGGCATAGAATCATGCCCTTTTTTGGTTATAAGATGATTTCAAAGTCATAACAATTTTCCCCAACTTAAATGATTGAGGAAGAAATCAGATTATTTTTAGATCCTTATCTCTTGGTGGTATTTGTTGAACAAGTAAGCAGAAGTATTTAGTAAAAGTGTAAAGAAATTTTAGATTCACTTCCTGTTTTAGCAGGCCAGCAATGCCACAGACAATTCCAAGTGAAAGCTTAAGATTTAAATTATTTCTCCATGTAAGTCATGCATGAACAATTAAACATGTCATATCAACATAAATTATTACAAAACAAGAGTGTCAAAGGTCAAGTAAACCTCAAACTTCAACTGAAACTTACTTTGCAAAGCTTGCATAAAAATTCCTGATGGCATAGAAGTTTCAATATTCAGATGAAAAAAAAATGAAAATGTACAAATGTGTTCATGAATTTTTTTTACCATCAAAACGGTTAATAAAACTACAAAGTTCTAGGCCTTTGCAATGTGTTCCTGAGACAAATAAAGTCACATTGTGTCCAGATTTGGAATGTCAATTTGTCGCATCTCTATCTAATGAATTTGCTGACTTACAGCCCTCTTGTGACTGCAGCACTCAATTTTACTCACCAAACTTAAGACAACATCATTACTCCTCGTGCTCTGCATTGGGACTCGACCTCGTCTGTTGGCATGATGGATGGCTAGCATGATGAAGGTGGCTGACACGCTGCCTCCTTGAAAGACCAACTCGTCTCTTCCGATTGCAAGGAGGTAGAGGCGATGCTCTCCACTCCAAGTCAGGAAGTTGAGTAGACTGTTGATCTGTCAATTTGCAGAGAACAGCAAAATAAAGAGGCAAATTATTGAAAGTTTACACTGTAATGAAGACACTGTGTAAAGGTCCTATAGGATCATTCATGGTTACTAGTGACAAGATTCATATTCCCTTTTGTTGGATTCATATATTTCTAAGATTCATATATTCCTTTTTGTTTTGTTAGAATCGTATATTCCTGTTTTGAATTCATAAAAAAACATGAGATCAACTGTTTATTTATTCCATTTCTTCACCCAGGGTACGCCCAAACAGTTAAAAACTGGTTTCCATTGGGGCCCTGCATACATAACAAATGATCAAATAATGTTAGTAAAGTTAAACTCATAAGGAAAAACTGTTGGCCTAACCAACTCCAAATCAAGCAACAGAAAAGACAGATAAGCAGATTGACTGGAGGAAAGAAATAAACAGATAAAACAACAATTAGTCCTCGGAAGTCGATGAAAGCCAGTCTTAAAAAACTCAAACAAAACAAGCTTGAATTCGCAGACAAACATACCAAATGTGACTAAACGTGGCCGGCTACTGGCTGGCTGTTGGTTCTGGTAATTAATTGCATGCCTCCACTGAAAAACCGTAGTTGAGCTTTGTGGAACTAGCTGATTTTCACTCGCTATCTGAGGAGCTAAAAAATAATAACCTTTTTTAAATTTGGAAGAATTGCATTCCTATCAAATATTTCGAATACATTTCAAGCATTAACAAAGGACACAAAGGCCATTGCTCACTTATATACAAGAAATGAATTTGACAGTGTGACACTCTCACCAAACCTGTCTTACCTGTACGGCACCCATCCCTGTTGACAACTGATGCCTCTTCCGTTAACTGCTGCTCCCTTACTTCATTAGGATTAGTGGCTGGTGAGGGAGGAGCTGAACTGTCGTCAATATCAACCTTCCTCCGTTTCACAATGGAAACCCCTTTTAGAAAAAAATAATACAAATCAAAGACTAGTCTGTAATTGAGCATCCACTTGTCAGCAGCAAAGAAAAAAAGTGATATTTTTAATTAGTTTTTTTAAGCAACTGACCACAATCGAATCAAAATGTTTTTTTAGAGAATATGAGAGATTTTTAAGAATTTGTCAAAAAAAATCATAAAAATTGTACCTTTATCGTCATCAGCATGATCAGTATACAGCTCATGAGAGCCATCTTCATGGTCTGTGCTTTCACCCTCCTCCAGCAAACTTGGCACCATCTGATCATGGATGGGTTGGGTTTCTTCTCTGATTTGGCAATCTTGATTCAAAGCCTCCTCAGTTGGCGTAGGATTTTCTTGAAGTATGATCCACCCAGCGTCTTGATTGTTCCTCTCAGCAGGAGTACTGCATCCATCAACAATCTGATCTTGGTGCTTGGGTGGGATGGTTGCACTAGTAGTAGGTAAGTGCTTATTCACATTGTCTTCTTTGTCTTCAGTGAGCTGCAACTCTTGTCTCACATCTTGAGATGCTATTTTCATGTCAGTCAGCTCACCATCTTCTTCGTCTCTTTTCTCTTCAGACGGTTCATCGAAGCCATGCTCACTTTTCTTTTCTTGACTACTGATGAGCTCTTCGTGGGAGGTATCATTGCCTGAAGCAATTGCCTGCATCCCTTTGGTACTTTTATCATAATTCTCATTACAAACCAGGAATTCTTCTGTTTCTTGAGGCGGAATGGCTGGATGTAAATCTCTGTCATCAAGGCAGATTGGATTTTCATCACAGCACCTGCTAAAATCTTCTGAGGACCTTGTAGCTGGCTTGTCAACCTCTGTTTCACTGTCAGTTTTATCTTTGAGGGAATATGTGTCACAGTTTCCAAAAGGCTGTTTAGCAAGTTTGGGTATCTTGCAGAGTGGTTCCTCAAGACCCAAGCAACCACTGTCTTCCTTCACAAGAGCAGCTCTGCAGTCACCTAAACATTCTGGAGGTGATAGGAGATTTATTTCTTGAATCTTGAAGCCATCGAATGCATCATCCTGACCTGTAAGAGGGTTGCTCAGTGTCTTGGCTCCATTGTCTCGTAACACACTCCAATCTTCTTCAACCTCTATGATGCACTGTGCATCTATAGGGCCTCCACTATCTTGCGGTTCATCCGGCATCTCACTTTCTGCTCCTTCAAGATCATCACTCACTGCCTCATTGAAAGTTCTAACTCCATCAAACCCTGCATCATGTGTTTCCATGGTAACACAAGTTTCTTCTACCTGCAGGCACTTTTCATCTAGCCGACTGGATACATTGTTAAATTGAAGCAAGCTTTCTTTGGAAACTTCTGAGTTACAGATGAGAGACTGTGATTGGTTATCATGGGACTTCTCATCCACTGTGCTTACTTGAGCATCGTTTATCATCTCAACACCCCAAACAATGAGCTGATCCCTTGCCATCTCTGATTTCCCGCCACTTACTCTGTCTAAGACTTGAGAACATTCAGCAGATGTCACATCCGTTTTGGCTGCAGCACATGCCTGCCTAAACAACTCATCAACACCACCACCAACAGCAATGAGAACCTGCTCTCTTTGACAAATTTGCATCCTTTGAAAGGAAGATAACCTTAGCCCATATTGATGAGAGCTTGCAGAGATTGATGCCTCCAGAAATAAGTCTTCAACCAACTCAATCACTGTGTTTAATACTGATTGGTTTGGTGTAATGTTCTCTCTAAAGTTGTAATTTTCATTCTTCATCGTTGCTTTTGCTATTTTGAACGTTTCTACGCAGTCTGACGCAGGCCTTTGGCCTACAGGAATTAATTATGGGTTCTCGACAGGTAGGCCTAATGAAGATTTAAAACATTGCTGCCTACTTTTCTTGCAACTGCCAATAGTTCTGCAAATGAATTGAGAAAAAAAGAACATTATTTGTCCAACAGCAATATGCCTAGGCCCTACTTCAACTTTTTCAACTTCAACAAGTTGTTGTAGGCCTAATGCGCATATCAATTCTTCCCCCCTCCCCCGGCTGCCCCACCCAAGACTTGGGGATTGTCACTTTTGAAGTGACAAAATCCCCACCCCTCGGACAAAATTTAAGTGACAATCCCCGACCATGGGCATGGCCATGCCTCGTAAACAATGTAATTTGAGTGTCCAAAATTCACACCCTGGGGCATGAAAAACATGACCAAATTCCGACATCGGACCTGGGGCAGCGCGGGGGGGGGGGGGGGGGGACATTTGATAGCCGCATAAGCGATAAGCCATTTTCAATCAACATGATCATGATGACAATGGATAATTATCAATATCAGCCTAGGCCCTAACTTAGTTTTAAAGTTTAGTTTTTAGTTTTACTGCCAGTAAAACTAAAAAGTAAAAACTTAATAAATTAAATACTGGCGACAAAACGACACGATCCCCGCGACGTCGTCGTCTTCTCCAGTTCTGCGTTCTGGACAATTTTAATGTTTAAGAACTTAGGTTTCATAAACGTAACATGAAGCGGCAAAATAACTAGAATAACTAACTATGAAAAACAAACAAATAAACTTACATGTAACTCATAAGTTGTATGGCTTTTTCTTTCTTTATGTTGTGCCCATTCTTGAAAATCACGCATTCTCGAGAATGGGCAGGCACATTCTTGAGAATGTGCAACTGGATCCTTGCTCAATCTTGGCAAAAAATAACTCTTCCAGATTGAGCGCACATTCTCGAGAATGCGCGACAAGATAACGGTCTTGTCGATGCCGAGCACCGGCTGCGCTTGGCAAGTCTAGCTGAATCCTCGTTCACTGATTCTCAATAATTATACTGTTGCAACGCAAGGCGCTGAAAAGTAGAGTGGATATGATAAGTAAAGGCGTATTAATATGGGGGGGGGGGACCGGGAAAATATAAGAGACATAATAATACTAGTGCAAAGAATTCTGATTTTTGGGATAATAAAAGCGGGGGGGGGGGGGACGTAAGAATGAAGAATGTGAAGAATGAGAATGAATACTGCGACATCCCATAGTGCTAATGCTATTTCCCATTTAAATTGCCACCAATTTATTGTTCACATCCCACCATAACGTCGCAGAGCTGGATTCTATCTAGTCAAAAGAGCAATTTTGGCAGCTTCTGGACATCGTTTTTTTTTTCGTGGCACGCATATGATACATGCAGGGACTTGTAACTTGTCTAGCCTAAATAAAGCACTTCCCAGACTAGTTCCCAGTCCTCCGTTATTACAAAACTTCCCATAGTGGGCAGAAAAAAACAATAATAACAGGTTTAATTTGATTCAAATTATCGTAGTTATACGAGTACAGAAGCATAGCACATTTTCTTTCCTCTTTATATGAATTGTTTCCCTTTTAACCGCTATACAATTCATTTAACATAATTATGTCGTGCAATGTTCGTTAAGATTGGGCAAAATTCATAAATTGTGCACGTGATATTCCCACCCAATCTTAAGAATGAGCGCTCATTCTTAAGAACGCGTGCTCGTTCTTAAGAATGGGCGCTCATTCTTAAGAATGCGCGCCCATTCTCGAGAATGTGCATGCCCATTCTCGAGAATGCGTGATTTTCAAGAATGGGCACAACATTTACAACAAGATTCAAAAACCAAAAATGCGCAAACTCTCGGCAAATTTTGTCGTCTGCAATTTTGGTCAAAATGCCAACTCTCAAGAAACAAACTTTTTAAGCATTGATAACATATATTTTACTAACAAATTTTGATTGAATATATTTTTAAAAAGCAAAAATAAATTAATTTGACAATATTTTGTTTTTTTCTAGACTTATTTTGAATTAAAAATGTAATTAAATATAAACTTTATATGAACAAGGCTTAAAACTGCACTCTGGGATATACCTTCCTTTACTCTATACAGTTAACGTGCAATATTTTTCGCAAAAGTCTGTTTTTGGACTCGAAACTGTACGTAAAGTACTGCGGAAGCCAGGCTATTCCCGCTACTGCATGGAGTATACTTATCTTGATTCACGCTTCCTCCAGATTTTCAGCAGTGTGCAGCGCATTGCATTGCATGGCATGCACACGACACATACAGTGCGGTACGCATTTTCGTTTCTGGCGCCGCGGAACCAACCCGGAAATAGCACATGAAAAGTGATTTTTGTTGGCGTGGTGCACCGGTATTTCTCGTGAAAAAGTCGACTTTTTGCAGTCCTGGTAATAGTGTATTCGGTGAAGATATCTGAGGAGTGTTGGAGTGTCTGGAGTGGTGTTCGTTGGGCATAAATTCAGGTAAAGTTTCCAAAAATAAAATGGGCAATTGAGTTGAACATCATTCGAGAACTTTTGAGACGCAAGGGTTTTTACGGGCACATAGAAAACTGTATTAAAAAAAGACGAACACACGCTACATTCTGCTCCACGGCCAGTAGCACTGACTAGTCTGCTACTTGCTAGGCCTACCTAGTTATTGTTTTTACTGTGTTGGCGGCTAGTGTTAACAATATATAACATGATTAAAATAAGGGAATAAATAAGTCAAGTGTTGTTAAAAATTTTGGAACAAATGTTGCATTTGCAACTTGACGCCACTTTTTCCTTCATATTATTTTTATTATCATCTCAATGAAGGTCAGTCATTGCAAAAATGATGATTAGACATAAATCTGAGACCGAGAAACATTTTCAATTTTGTTACGAAATTTCTTGACTCTCCATAGACTTAGTACACAATCGCTGAAGTGGCATCAGGTTGCAACAGTTTGTCCAAATTTTTTGTTCTGTTATGTTAATCGTGTTATTGTAATAATATGGTCAACCATTATTCATGTTAAATTCGTTACTTTCGTAGAATCCTAGTTCCTACTCGGACTATTGCATGAAATGCGAGTGACGTCTGTGTATCAGCGTCAACATGGTCAACAAGTTTAAATTGAATTCTGAGTATAATTGTGGCGTTGTAAAGTTATCTTGTCCTTTTCCACTGTGCTCCACAAAACTATGAAAGAATGCCCTCTATAGAATGAAAATCAAGAAGATTGAGTTGCAGGAACCTTTCTCATTTTTATGTCCACATTTTCATGTACACAATGAAAATATTAAAGGGACATTAAAGTTTGTCTCTCAGTCTCAAGAATCGAGCTGTTGGGTGCTAGTCGTGAATCCTGCCTCACCGCTCACATGTTCAAACAGTGCATCCCTTTTTTCGGACCTTGCGAGAAACAACTTAAATGTGTATTGGTGCTGTGGGTATTATGTGTCAAGCACACAACGAGTATCGTACATTAAATGGACAGGCCTGGAAATGTACATATATGCGTGTGCCGCAAAATGTCCGCTGCTACATGTACCTGGGTTTTTCTCTTTTCTCAAGAACAGTAAGACATAAGGTTAGTTTCCTTTCAACCAGACCTTTGAAATAGGATAAGTAAATAATCCAAAACATAAGTTTTTTGGGGGATTTCTGGCCATAATGCCCCATTAAACTAGCCTTAGTATGCTACTTAGTACATTGTACACACAATATGGTACACTATACATGGGAAGGATTTTATACGAAGTTCGCTAATTTTCCTCTGTATTGACTAACAAGCCCCCCCCCCCCCCCCCCCAGATAGCAATTTCATGTCATCAAAGTCAATTTGAGCAGTGAGAAAATACAAGCATTTTCTTAGAAAACACTTAGAATTTTTTTAGTCCAATCTCATAGGGTTTGTACACAGGGTGTTGAGTGAACTTCGTATATGGAAATCTTTCCCCCATTAAACTTGTAATTTCAATGTCATGACTGTAGCCTTATGCTACTTAGGACATCGTACACACAACATGGTACAGATACACTATACAAAATGTACCTTGCTACACTATGCTAAAACAATATTCACAACGGCTTTGACGGAGACGGACACAGTTCTTTCTTGTGGTAAAGCCATTAAGTTTTCAAAGGCATGAAGGTCAAATGGACCAGCTATTCAATGACACTGTCCCACTGTGTGCATGGTTGGATAGAGATAATGATAGCCGGCACCGTACCATCTGCAGTTTGCATTCCACAGCAAACTGTCACAATTCTTCCTGTGGAGGCCAGTGAAATAAATCACCGTGGAATTTGTCATCTGATGATGCTTGTGTTGGTCACGGCAATCTTCAATGAGTAACATTAGTATGTATTGCAAACTGTATGCTCACATATGTAGAATATACTTGATTTTTTGAAAAAGTACATTTTATAAGTAGGCATAGCACGCACAAAAATATCTATTGTGCAATATGTAAACAGACAGTGCCAATTGAAAGAGCTATGTGAAAGATGAATATTTGTTTTTGTTTTTTGAAAATCGGTCAATGCATTTCAGAGTTATGGTAAATTAAAGCATACATGTACTTGAGTTTTTGAAAAAGTACATGTACATGTACACATTGCATTTGACCAAAGGACAACACGTAACCCTCATATTATTATTAAATTTAATTTGGGAGTACATTGTATTTTAAAATAATGAGCCAAATTAACATTGTGATTTGTGAGTCAAAAAGAAAGTGAGCTGGATTAATTATTGTTTTTTCTTTAATACAAAGCAATCAAATTTGATACACAAACGAAGTGTGTCTTAAAAGAGCAGGTTCTTCCACTCCTCTGTAAAAAAAAAATTACTGAAATTGAACCATGCTATCAGATGTTATGCATGTTTTTCTAAAAGAACCTATATTGGAAAAAGTTCCAAACCTGGATATCACTTGACTCACACCCTGTGCACAAACCCTGTACATGTACATTGTATGATACTGGTCTGAAAAAAATCTACGTGGTTTCTCAATAAATGCTTCAATATTTTCCCTGCTAAATTTCACTTTCTAGGAAACGGTTTCTGATGACTGATAGGTAACTGCAGGGAAAAATAAGCGATACTGTCCATGTGGAATTCTTCCCCATATTTTTAAAAGCTGTCCATGAAATGCCATTGGAAGCTATTGAGCTGAGTGAGAATTACACGCTACCATTCATTCAAACACAAATGAGATTTTAATCATTTGAGTCAAGATTGAAACATTATTTTTACTGTCAGATTTTCTGTTTTTAATATGAGGAACAAGTTGACTCTTTTATTCAGAAATATTGATGGCGATATTTGGCTGTTTTCCTTTGCAAGTTTTCATTAATTAATTCATTCATGGAGACCTGTGCGAAAACGTGGATGTTTAATGGGTATTTATCAGTTCGTCAAACGGTAAATGATCAGTGGTGGACAGCTGAATTTTGTAATCTCTTGATCAAAATAGACATAACTTGGGAATAGAGCATGCAAATTACATGAAATTTTCACAGTTACTAGTCAATAACATGTACTTTATCCCTATCTTATATTTATGAAATGGAGCGAGCTGCATGTCTTTTTAAATATTTGGTTTTTAGTCCGGTCACTTTCTTTTTGACTCACCCTGCAGAGAATTTTTCAGGATTTAACCAAATAAATTACTGTGGACAGAGGATGCATTTCATATCAGTGAAAAATGAAAATGAAAACGTGCATTTTTAATCCTTAATGCGTTTATGGCCATTGTACAACACAGGTGAACAAAAGGTATGAAATTGAGTTTTGCCAGTAAAAAAAAATCTAAATAAACATTAATAAATGTTACAGTGTCATTTTCAGTTAAGTGTACACCGCAATGTATGTACTTCACATTTGCAGTAGGTCTTTGAAAAGCTTAGACAAATCTAGCTATATGATTTTTTTTTGTTTAATTATTCTCTGAAAAAAAAGGTTGAATTATTTTCTGAAAATGGTGTACATACATATACTTATGTACGATGTACATGTTATGTGCATATTACTCAGGGACTTTCCAACAGGCAATTTTCACAGAATAGGCCAAAAGTCAATTGCCCCATTCATTTTAAACAAGCTCTGAATGCTAAAGTTCTGCTCTCCTGTATATCAGACTTTTAAGGACATGTTACTTCCTGTTCAGGGTATTTGAATAGTCCTTGAGCCTTGAGGGGGTCGGCTATAACAAGAAGCTTTGTTAAGTGAGACTAGTGACAAAGGAGTCGTCCATACATACATGTTGATCAATACTGTAGGCCTTGGGAGTTTTCAATATTTGTTGAACATTCATGTATGTTTCAATTGAAAGACAGAAGCGGTACATTTTTAGACACGGTTTGTCATTAAACGTATTCCTGGCCTACAGTTTCAATAGTTTTGCTTCCATCCATAATGTTGTGCTAGCCTTGCATCAAACTTTCTTTTTGATTTTTTTCTGTCGAGTTTCTTGGAAATTAAATGCGCAATTTATATTGCAGTCTTCCTTTTGTGTATATAAAAATTAAAAAAATACATACTGCAGAATTTTGTGTTGCACTTCTGAAATCTTCTCATTATCATTTCCAGATCACCTTGTCTAATTTAAACTTGTTTGATGAGCTAGACACTCGTGAATGCTCCGGTACGTCGGTTTCGGAACAACGGCTCTCATCCCAAGTAATTTCCCGTACACCCTATATAGGCAATTTATTACGTGTAATGCTAGGTTCTGGCAGCAAGTGTGGTATGCAGTGATGATATTAAAACTGGTCTCAAGTTATTCTGACACTTTGGAAGGTCATGCTGGTGTACGTATTTGACAAGTCCTTGAATCAGTGCGCATTCTGCATCCATAATTTCACACTATGCATGTAGGATAAATGGAAAGTGGTTACAAAACATGTAAAATATGTTCATGAATATAATTAATTATATAATATTGAACGGCATTGAGGGGGATATAAGAATATATTGCACGAGCTACATGTCCATAATTTCACACTATGCATATATATATATGGAAAGTGGTTACAAAACATGTAAAATATGTTCATGAATATAATTAATTGTATAATATTGGACAGCTTTGAGGGGGATATAAGAATATATTGCACGAGCTACATGTGTACATGTACCGGTATAATGGTATTGTACGAGTCAAAGACCAGTGCAATATTGTTATAGTGAGTGCAGTACATGTATATTCTTGTAGGCCTATCCCCCGAGAAAAAAAAATCTGACATTATTTTTATTATTTGTATCAGGCTGACTTGATCCGCAAGAAATGAAATTCAGGATGATGTTTATGTCTCAAACTTCGTTGAATATTCTTCGCATACTGAAGCAAATTGTGCAAAGCTCAAAGCTGCTATTGTGGTTGTTGACAACAGTGCGCAACTGCGCGTATATGCCCCGCTGCGCACTGGGTGCGCGTGGGGCGGTACTGCGCACTACGCTCTGTTGACTGGTTGACAAGTGTGAGTT